AGGATCAAAACCCAACAGTTGCCCCAAGAAGAAGTGGAAAGGTTTGTTAAAGAGAACAAAGCGCTCAAGACCACTGCGTTTGTAGTGAGCGCTGTACTGCTAAGTTTCCTTCCAATGGCCTTAGCAATCTTTTTAATACTAGTAGGAGTGAAGAAACGTTTAAACTTAGACGCCGTGTTTGTTGTATGGGAGCCGTTGGCTCGCACTTGCGCCGTATTAAACTCGCTACTGAATCCGTTGATATATTGTTTGCGCCAAAAAGAAATGAGAAAATTTGTGTTTCGAGCTCCATGGAAGCGTGTGGAACCCGCTATGAACTGAACTGAACATTGGAAGAGAGCTTGAAAAGCGGCGCCTTGTAAATTAGTATAACTTCGACGAAGCGTTTCGATTGTTGAAAGAGACAATTGGTTCATTATTACTTATGTTAAAGTAACGAGATCGAAATAAAAACATTGACTTAATTTATAGAATACAACTTTATTCTCAGAGTTCCTTAATAGTTTATATTTCCTAATTTCTCACTATAAATTGCTTTCTCTGTAGTGTTACGTTGTGGTATGTAAACTGAGTAGTTTAGAACAAAAACTGTTCCTTTAACATCTAAACGCACAATGAGAACGATTTCCAATTCTGTCTACGTTTTAGAAGTAGTATTAACTCCACATTTCAGTCAAATCGCTCGTAGATTGAATTGTTGTTCTAAGGTGGCTCCCAGAGTATTTACGAACACCCTCCCTAAAAGGAAACTTAGTTAATTTTTCTTAAAGTTTTCCCTGTAGAGTTTTACGAGTATGGGTACTGTTAAAATAAGGCTTATTGTTTGGTTGTCAATTTTTGGATTAAAGGCGTTGCTATGGTAACATCTCACGTAATGACAAGCAGATATACCAGACCTCATTTTGGTCTAAACTCCTTAACATTTATGCTTTCCTTCGGTGAAATTTTTTCATATTTTTGCACATCATGGAAATGATATTGCTTGACATTTTCAGTTGGTAAACAGTCAAGGTTGTTCAGACAGTTTTTCCAATATCCGGTAATTTGTCACCCTTCTAAATATATCAGATTAGCTCTGGCAGATTTAAACAAAAACAGGGTATTTTATAGCAATTGTATGTGATTACTAATTTCAGAGTAAAAACGCCGTTTTCAAATTTTTCTGGCGTAGTGTGAAGGGGTCGTTATTAGTCCAGCATTTTAAACATTTTTCATTGGCTTAATGGATTGAGTTACTTTAGTTACAAACAGGTTAAAACAAATGAGATATGGGAAAATATCGATGAAAAACATTTGTACACTTACAAATAAAACTCTCAAAACCGAGCTTTTCGAAAGGGTGACTGCACGATAATCATGTGCTTCCCTGCAAGAGTTTTCCTCAAACACAAATCCAAAATGACCAGTGATTGTTGCTTTTGCAAATTTCTCCGGCGTAGAGTGGACGGAAAATATTTCATGCGTTTTCAGATTGAAAACGCCGTTTTCAAATTTTTCTGGCGAAGTGTGGACGAGGCGTTATTAGTCGGGCACGATAAACACTTTTCATCGGCCCAATTGATTGAGTTACTTTAGTTTTAATCAGATTAAAAACAATTGAGATATGGGAAAATAACTATATTAAAAATTTGTACTCTGATAAATAAACATCTCAAACTAATACATGGTTGGGATGTTAATTTCCGTTCTTGGTTTTGGATAAAAGAGCATCTTTTCCAGTTTCTAAGTTGAAAAAATAGTTATAACTACTAAAACTTTTTCCCATCGAGGTGTCTCAACCGCCTCAGGCATTTATCAATGGACTGGACAGGAACTAAAATTACAAGACAACGGAAAATTACCTTTAATTGCTGATAATGATAATTGAGTAATCGGCCGAGAATTTAAGGCCGACTAATAAATTTGGCTAATGCATGGGAACCGTGAGAGAAAAACACATGTCACACTTAATGTGGCAGTGACAATCCAGACAACAGCAAATAAAAATCCTCGCGGATCGAGCGATCTGAGAAGTCAGTTTACCTTCGCTGCTCTTTCTAAACATGGCCAAACTCTCTGGATGAAATTTTACAAACGTTACTGAGATGACAGCACAAGGCGACACACCAAATCTCGCTCAAGAAGTCAGTATCATCACTATCATCATTAACGGCATCACTTGTCCCTTTACAGTTCTGTTTAATGTGCTAGTGATAATGGCCGTGAAAAGAAGACGAAGACTCCAAAGCAACCCTAACATCTTGTTGGCCTGCTTAGCGGCAACTGACGCACTAACTGGTCTAGTAGTACAGCCATCGTTTATCGCATGGAAAACATTTTATCTCCTTAATTATAATGGTATCGAAAGAAGCGTGGCTGAAGGTTTTCACAAGTTCTTTTTGCGCGCCTTGACTGTCTGTTCGTCGCTTCATCTGATTTTGATCACTTGCGAGAGGCTAATAGCAATTAAATTTACCATGAGCTACCCATACATTGTCACCAACCGGAAAATCACGGTTGCAGTACTCATTTTTTGGGCGTTTTCTTTTATCCAAGGTATTGGATATTTTTCCAATAACGTCATTTTAAGAGTTGCATTTAATTTAATACTTTCTTTGGCTATGACCTTCTGTATCCTTTTTATCACCATAACCTATGCTGTTTTGTACCGTGAATCACGCCGCCACCAAAGCATGATGAAAGCCCAACAGCTACCCCAAGAAGAAGTGGAAAGGTTTGTTAAAGAGAACAAAGTGCTCAAGACCACTGCGTTCGTAGTGAGCGCTGTATTGCTAAGTTTCCTTCCAATGGCCTTAGGCTTAGCTATCTTATCAATGGTATTAGGAGTGAGGAGAGATTTAAACTTGAACGCTGTGTTTGTTGTATGGGTGCCGTTGGCTCGCACCTGCGCCGTATTAAACTCGCTACTGAATCCGTTGATATATTGTTTGCGGCAAAAAGAAATGAGAAAATTTGTGTTTCGAGTTCCATGCAAGCCTGTTGGACCCGCTATGAACTGAACTGAGCATTGAAAGAGGGCTTGAAAAACAGTACCTTGTAGAAGAGAACTAGCGATGGTGTAATCGCCACGCGGGCGCTGGGTTGACATTGACGCAATCAAACTACACGACTAAAATGAAAGCAAATTTTTCCTACTGTGACCAAAGTCAAGTTTAATGAACCTGTACTTAAACCAGAAACACCAGAATAGCACCATATCGCTAACCACTAACTGTTAACGTCTTCCAGTTGAAAAACTAGCTGTTATCTGTCGAAAATTATACTGAAAAATCCAACAGTAAACATATACCTGCAGATGGCCTATTGCGCGGGCAAAACAAGTGCGAGATACGCAAATGTTTTACTTACTGTGACAGGAAAAAATGTAACGGGCGCCGTAAAGTTTTTGAAAAGGCTGTCAGAGGCGCTAAAAGCGCTGTTTCAATGATTTTAATACTTAAAACATACCAAAAATGGTTTTTATGTTATCATTTACCATGGAGTCTTGAGATCTTTATAAATGTGTTTGCTTTCCTGTATGTAAAGGCGAATTTTAAGGAAATCTGTGAAAAAATATCCTTTCGTTCTTTTTTCGGAAAAATGCGGATGTCAGCATGTTAAGATTCAAAGCTAATTATCTCGAAATAATGCGAGGCTAACACCATTTTTCTTTATGGATTCCAATAGCCTTTGCAAGGATCTACTTTTTCCGCGTGGTCCTAATCTGGCGCAAAAACCTTTGTATTTAGTAGGCACCGTCCTTAAAGAATAAAACTTTATTCCCAGAGTTTCTTTATTATTTATTATATTTTCTAATTTCTCACTGTATCTTGCTTTCTGTATAGTGTTGTGATATGTAAGCTAAGTAGTTTAGAAGAAAAACCGTTCTTTGAACATCTAAACGCACAATCAGAATTATCACATATTATTGACAAAGATTCCTCATTTCATTTAACGTCTGTAATAAAACACAGGAAACAAGCCCGTATTAGTGAAGAGAAACACCCGCACCTAGCCCAGTTTGCTTTAAATAAAATCTTAAAGAAATCTCGAGCTCATAAGCTAATTGATTATGAAAATTGTAAATAATTTTTGTTTCAAATAACGAAAGCCAGCACGTGGCAAAAGACAGAGGTGTCGAACCCTGCAAATTACACGCGGATAACAGCGGAAACCACGCAGACCTATGACCTCTAACGGCTCTACTCTGGTGAAATGTCCTCCTAAAAACAGGATTGTTGCTTAGCGAAATATTGAAAGATCCCCCTATCTACCATACAAAAGGAGCAGATCCTCAAAAATATGATATTTCGAGCAAAACTCTCAAAGGGGCTATTACACGTGGGTAGGAGTTGTGTAGGCCTGTCAACCCATTGTTATCACTATTTCTACGTATTAGAAGTAAAATTCCACACCACAGCCAAATAGCGCGTGGATTGAATTGTTGTTTCAAACTTGTAGCTGTTTACATATGCTCGTCAGTACATTAAACATATTGACGTTTTTAGGTCTCTTAACGGTCAATATCCTTTTTCTTTTGATATATATGTCTTCGGAATTAAGTTATTCAGTAATATTTCTCAATCTTTCTTGAAGCATCTGCGAAACGAGAAAATGCTGCCATTACGTGGGTGACCTCCAGCCACTGTACACCAATAGCCGTTCCCGCCGTTCACACTTCAACAGAAAAATGTCGGGTTAGAAGGTGTGCCCCCTTAGCTCGTCTTCGGTCAAACCCACGTGGACGAATCGGAGACAACTGAAATAGCAGCAAATTGGAGGCAAAAAAACTCGTTGATTGTGTGCATGGAAGATGTGACGGTTTAGTGTCTGCTTTTCCAATATCTAATTGCTCCTGATTCCCCGTCCCCCGCCCCCGTCCCCGCCAAATCACCCTCCTCAATTATTTAGACAGGCCATAACTTTCTTTACTTTGTTTGAAAATTAAGACTTGCCATCCGCTGCTATCCACGTTAAAAGTACCAGTACCACCCTAAAAGGGCCTCGCCATCTTCTCTAGCTATGCGTGTATATGTCCTTTTTCTGACCGTGTGAATCAAATTATCACTGTCACATGTTTATAACTTAGACTTAATCGCTTTGAATCAACCAGATTAATCTTTTCTGCTTTGCTATTTCATACTTGTTGCGACAGGACCTTTGCAATCTTCAATGAACTAAAGTGTAACAAATAGGAGACGGACATCGAAATGGGACTGTTTCTGGCGCGAAAATTGTGGTTATTACAAATTTGCATCACAACGGAGCGTGCAAACGCTCATAATTATTCATAGCAAGTTTAGTTCATTTGCATTCGCCTTCGCCGGTTCTTGTTCCGTGGATGTCGTTGCAAAAATGAAAACCTTTGCCACGCCAGGCTTGTAAAAAAGTGGACTTTCACGTTGGTAAAAGAAGATATAGCTGGATCTCAGAGACAACGATACATTTAACGGACGCTTCAAATTTGGCTTTTGGAATAATAGGAAACAACGTGTGTTTCGTTCTGATATGCTAAGTCGAGCTTCGTCTTTCCAAACGTGGCTGTTGTGTCTTCTTGGGTATTTTCCAGGTTGGTAGTTATATGTAGACATAGAAACCACTTCTTATTGAATATGATATTGCTCTTTGTGCTTATACACAGTTGTTGGAAATACAGCAAACGGGAGCGATTACTGTAACGTGTACGCTGTCGAGAAAAAAATTTAAGCTTGCGTGCGTCTACATATTTGTTTACTGTTTGACACACACCTTTATAGACATTTTATTTGTAGGTTCAAACTAGAGTTTGTAACTTGATATACTCTGAAAAATTGTATTTTTTTTAAAGATCAATTTGGACGTGCAACTTTACCGCTTTACCGCTTGCCACAAGCTTGCGACAGATGTGCGACAAAAATCGTCTCTTGTAAATCAAACCTACAATTTGGTTGTGAAATTGTAGTTCGATTGTTGCAGTGTTAAGCTGTATTTTCAATGTTTTTCTCCACTGTAGGCTTGTTAAACAACGACAGAAAACGAGACAAGATTACACTAATCGAGGTGAAGTTGTTGTCCTCTCTTAGCCATTTTGACACTGGCTGAATATTTTGATGGTAAGCATCAGTTTGTGAGGTCGTTTGACTCGAAGTAAACCTTCTCTAATGTGAATCAAGGACTTTGGGAAATGCAGATCATTATTTATGATGGCCTTTACTGGTAAGCGATAAAAAAAGTGATCTTGTATTGTAGTACTATTTGTTGGCGCATCCATGCAAGGATTTTATCAGAATGCATAAATGGCGTACAGAGAAGTCGGCCCTGGAAACCGGCGCAGTTTGGTGTGGGAAGCGATGAGGTAGTTTGAGATCGGTGAAGTTGGTATGCCCTCCTTGAGTCAAAATTAATCAAGTTTAGAGTCATGAACGGTTGCTTTTTCAGAAATTTCATTGTATTTTCTGAACTCTTATTTCTCTTAAAAATCATTGCTTAATTTGAAGGATTTTGCGCAACTGTACTGTCAAAATTTTCATAGTATCAAGCAAGCTTTTTCAGGAAGGAAATTACTTATTGTGGCACTCTCAATGTAAAATAGAAGGCTTACGTAATCACGACAGACAACGTCGATTAAAAACATATTTTTCTATATTTTACCTACGGATTTCCTGGTACTCTAAAATCATTTACTTTGTTTATCACTGTCAAAACTATCAAGAAACTGAATATGGGACTCCGCGATAAATTTGAAATTAAAATTTAAAAGAAAATATTGGCCGTTAGAGTTCATTATCTCCAGACAACGTAGAATTTGGTCATTTCGCGTTGTTAGGGACCTTACGCATATACGACGGCGACGGTGAGGAAGACGCCTTTAGTAAAAATTGTGCTTTTATTTACTTTGGAATTTCGCATTTATTTGGAACTATCC